ATAATTATAACGGTAATTATTAATTTATTTATTTAAATTCATTGTATTTTATAAATTTTATAAATATTAAATTAAATATTTCTTAGAAGTTTCTATGGTCTTCAATAATAATGAACAAAAAAATTGTATTGAAAATGATGGTAAGGAACAAATAGATTTTTAAATGATTTATTTATTATTTTAATAATTATTAACGTTAAATCATAGATGATAAAATATACAATAATCCAAACCTTCATTCGGAAGATCAAGATGATTTGGAAATTCCTTAAAGTAAAGTAAGTAATATAAAAAGTCTTAAGTGATAGAGCAATACAGCTATTAATCGGTTCAATTTATTTGACATTAAATTTGTGTAAGTTCAATAAATGTTTCATTATTTGTTTGAAATAGTAAGTTTAATTTTGAAACGCGCCAAATATTTTATTTGATATTTCCTCATGAAATCATATAGTTGTACTTAGTCTGAACTAAACTTTGTAGATTCTTTATATTTCTATTTATTTGCTCATGTATTTTTTTTTAAAAAAAAGAGTTTGTACAAAAAATAATAATAACGTATAATATAGTTCAGCACATACTTTATATTTAATAATTTCGGCATTATTTATGTCCCTAGTATTTTATAAGTTGAATGTATAATGTAAAACAAGAACTAATTCGACTCGTTTGATCACCCGTATCAAGAAAGGCATGTCTCTGGTTTTTACCTGACCCGGCATTTCTATGTTTTGAAACATTGTAAAATATTCATATTTATAAGCTTTATAGCTAGATCGAAAAATATCTGTTTAAAAATCGACTTTTTCTACAAAATGTTGATAACAGCTGATCTGATCGACTACCTTTATTATAATTCTTTAATTGGTAAAATATTGTGCTCAACTTAAAACCTTCTTATAATTTATTTACAAATAATCATATCTATTAATATTGCAAATTTCTAATACAGTATATCGTGTCATATTGATAAAGAAGAAACGCTTTTGGTACATATAATTTAATGAAATCTATAAAGAATTACTTCTGCGACGTAAATAAGTAACAAGTTCTTTAAATTAGGGATTTAATCGTTAAAAATCAAAAATCAGCAAAATAGATATCATTTTTTTTTAATTTTTTAAGTATAGAATTATTATATAAATTATTTTTAAGTAATATTTGTATTTACAATTTTTATTTATTAAGTATAAAATATGTTCATTGTCTCGTACGTGAAATTTATTGCATTTCAAAGGCGAGGCATGAATGTAAAATAAAACAATTTAACGATTTGTGTAGAAACCATTATGCTCCATAGATTTATTTACAAAATTGCTGTTAAAGTTACACAAGAAACCTAATTAGGAATTTTTTAAAATTGATATTTTTTATCTTAATCAATTTAACCCATATTAATTATGTAACATATATTTCTTTCGGTTACAAACTCTACTTTACACTACAAATTTTTTTAATATTTTCGTCCAATTTTGAAAAGAATTTTATTTCTCTTTCGAACTGGATCATAAATAGATCTTTTTGATTTTTCCATTCTTATTTTTTTCTCTTTTGATATAAAATCACTTATTATCATTAATTTTTTTAGACAGGATGGTTTGCAGCAATTCTTCATCTTACACTTGGAGATGTATGTATTTTTTTTTTATTAGTTTCATATTCTTCAATTTTTTTACTTTTCAATTCGATCGCTTCGACAATAGTCATCTAAAATTTTTTATGTTTCCATTATTATCGCTTATAGTATTGTACATAAGTAAAGTTCTCATGGTATGGATGGTGATTTTTTGAGGTCTCAGATTACCGACTAATTAATTGCCACATCGTTTTTTTTAACTATCGGAAAAAGTGCGTGTTCTAAATCATGGCAAATAATCTCGACTCTATAAAATCCTGGCATGATCTCGATAACCATCAAACAATAAGTTCATGACATGATAATCATATGATCCGTAAGGGGATTTTTTAAAAAGGATAAAAATAATACAAATTAGTTTTCAAGACTTTCAATGTGTATAGAAAAATTTTATCATATATATCTAATAGTTACACTCCAACAAAATACTTGCATTAACGGAATGTTGTAGAAGTTAGGTAGATTTGTAGTATAATTACTGAAGTATTTAAGATTCGGGGCTGATATTTGTTAAGAATCTGCCAAATTTACTTTTGCAAGTTATCTATCTGCACCTCCATCAGCATATTTCATGATTACCCATTTTGATTTTCCAATAATACGGTATTAATTTTTTTAAATTATATAAATATTATGTACTGTGGGAATGGATCACATGACTACAAAATTTCTGGAATTCATTATAAATGTCTCCGAACGATCGTCAAACTTTATACTTTTTCTTATTCCTCTACTAGTAAATCATGGAGGAAATCTTTTTATTAAATTTATCTTATGATTTTGTAAACTCTTCTATAATGAAGATAATTGTGATGTAATTATTCAAGTTGGAGAAGGTCAAAATATGAAAAAATTCTTTGCGCACTCGTTAATTTTAGGAGCAAGGTCAACATGTTTTAAAGCCGCTTTGTCAAGTGGACAAAAAAAGAGAATGGAATAATTGATTTTACATAACCAAATCTTTCTCCGGAAATTTTCGAATTGATTTTACATAACCAAATCTTTCTCCGGAAATTTTCGAATTGATTTTAAATTTTTCTATACTGGAATTATAAATTTAGATAACCTAAACGAAACACAATTGTTTAACCTTTTGATCGCAACCGATGAATTAAATCATAATGGATTTTATTCAAAATTATACGATAATGAATCAAGTTGAGTATTTAAAAAAGGAAATAGTTGATCATTTTAAATTATATCATAATATGAAAGTTTTGAAATCTTAAGAATATATTTATTAGAAATCATCTGTAAAATTCCGAAGTACTTTAAAAATCTTCCAAATTTATATCACTAAGAATAGACCATTTTATTTTTCTTTTGAAACAAGAAGAACTTGAGATGGAGGAAATTGAAATTTGGGATTATATTCTCAAATGGGGTATTTCCAAATTAACTACTTCATTAGATGCCAATAATATATCTCGCTGGACATTAAATGACTTTGAAGAGCTGGAAGATATTCTTCATGAAATTGTTCCACACGTTAGATGGTTTCAGAATTCTACTGAAAGATTTTGGATGAAAATTAGTCCATTTGAACCTATATTTCCCAAAAAATTATATAAGGATGTAATCGGATATCATTATTATACAGATACATCGTCAAATACCTTAATTTTGCCTCAAAGACGTAGTTTATCCTTTAATTCTGTTCTTATTTTAATGAACCATTTATTAATGATTTCATGTTGGATTGATAAAAAAGAAAAAATATTTTTTGGACCTAGAAATATTCCTTATTCATTTAAACTTTTGTATCGTGCCAGTAGAGATGGATTTGAACCAAAAAAATTTCATGAGTTATGTGATGATAAAGGATCAACTATTATGATTTCTAAAGTACAAAATAGTTATAAACTAATTGGAGGTTATAATCCTTAAGTTGGAAAAGTCCTGATCGTTGGAGTTGGTGTTTCACGTCATACAGTTTTTTATTTTCTTTTGTCAAATAAAAGAAATTTAATTCAGCGTACATTGCAATGGTAACTAATAATTGTCAACAACAACAAAAATTTCGTTCAGATATTGGGCCGGCCTTTGGCGGAGGATGTGATTTATTTATTCGAGGAGATAGGATAAGAAATCGTGGTTTTAATACATATCATGCAGTAAATATTATTATGGATAATGCAGAAATAATTTTGGAATATTACGAAATATTTCAGGTAATGGAAAAATAATAATAAAGTTAAAAAGGATCTTTAAATTTTTATTTGAAATATTAAAAATTTCGAATGTACACTCTTGTAATAACAATTTTTTTTGAAATTTGTAAAAGGATTCTAATTCAAATTATTCCCATTTAATCAAGTTGATATTTGGTAAAATAATATCTTTGAATTAATCCGCTTTAACTAACTTCAAATTTTATAAAGATCTTTCTAATTTAATTTTGGAGAAGTTTAATCTGGTCGAATAGGCTTATTACTTTCTTAGGATATATAAATCGTTTATAATTTGCAAATATTATTAATTTATAAATAAAGGAAAATATTTAATCTTTATTGGCCGACCGAATTATCCACACTTTGAATAGTTGAAGTTTTTCATAAACACTTGATTGACATGCGTGCAGAATCCAATTTAATAAAAGCAATTTTTTTTCCTAAAAAATTACGAATTTAAAGCTTCTACCCCTGAAATATTATATCATATGATTGTAACTTGATTTTAATAGAAATTGTTCCATATAACGATATCGATATGAAATCTCTCTAATCTTACTTATTTTAATTACCTTAAGAAAACTTCATAAGTTATGACTGTATATTCATTGATAAATAAATATTTAAAATTACTACAAAAGCAAAAATCAACCGTTCACGAAATTTGTCCTTGAAAAGCATCTGTTTAGTTAAAAAAAAAAAAAAAAAAAACTTGCTTTTAAAATTGACCGGCATATTAAAAACAATCATTCTCGAGCTTTTTAAAATATATACTAAATAAAAATAAAATAAGAAAACTTGGAAATATCTTTAGAAAAGTTAAAAAACCTTGTCAGAACTGCGTCCAATGACCTTTTTTTTTTGTGACTGGTGCTGTTGTAGCCCAAATGCGTTAATGTCCGAAATGATCATTATCCGAAGTGAGCATTTGGGATATTATCCGAAGTGGTCATTTGAGATATCCGAAGTGAGCATTTGGGATATCCCAAATGATCATCTGGGATAAATGCGCATTTGGGACAAATTCATGTCTGAAACGATCTTCGCATATTCCGATTTGGGATATCCGAAATGATCATTTCGGACATTAACGCATTTCGGGTACAACAGTGCCACCATGCAGGATTCTAACCAAAATAATTATAAATTTTTTAATTTTTATGGAAATCTGAAACATTTTCCCCTGAAAAAAAATGTCTTTCGAATTGTGGAAACTGTCCTCCAAAGAATATATTGATATCTTTGAATCCGGTGAATTTTCTGATATCGAACTTCTAATTGGAGAAGAGCCCAATACTAAAGTTTTTAAAGCACATTCCTTAATTTTAAAAATACGTTCTACTTACTTCCGCACCGCTTTATCAAACAATTGGCAAAGAACAGAAAACAATGTTATTAAATTTCAAAAATCGAATATTTCTATTGATATATTTGAAATAATTATAAAGTAATTTCTCGTTATATATATATTAATCATATCATATTATGAAAACTAACATGTGATTTTATTAATCAATTAGGTACATTTATAGTGGAGTTATTGAATTATCCAAATACGATATTAATACAAATATTGCGATTTTAATTGCAGCTGATGAATTATGTCTTAACGACCTATGTACTTTTATTGAAGAATATTTTCTTGAGGATAAATCATTATTAAGAAAAAATTTTGTTTTATTTCAGGAATTTACAACTAAATTTACTCAATTTAGTAAATTACACCAATTCCATAATAATTCTATTCAACAAGATCCCTCATTAATCTTTAAAGCAGATGATTTCGTAACAATTAAACAAGAAATTCTACTTGATATTCTTGTGAAAAACAATCATCCTGTAAGAACAATTATACTTTGGGATAAATTAATGGTATGGAGTATTGAACAATCTAATGAATTATCATCAGACACAACAAAATGGACACCTAATGAAGTTTCAATTTTTGGAAAAATAATTCAACCATTTATACCATATATAAATTTTAAGGAAGTTGCTCCCGTAGATTTCGTTCAAAAAGTCAAACCATTCAAGAATGCCTTTGATATGGGTTTCTATGTTCAGATTCTTGAATATTATTCTTTTGATGATAATGTTCCTTCAAAATTAAGAATTGATTCTAGTATTATTACTTCTGACCAAGCTATTTCACTTTGTGGTTTAATTAAAATAGAGAACTGTGATAACTATAATGCTTCTTTTGATTTAAAATTGCTCGTCCGTGGAAGCAGAGATGGATTTGAAATCACAAATTTTCATGAGTTATGTGATGATAAAGGACCTACAATTACTATTGCCAGTGTTAAGGATACGAAAGAAATACTTGGAGGTTTTAATCCTTTAAATTGGAAATCAGATGATGAAGGAGTATTTAGTAAAACTGAAAACAGTTTTATTTTTTCTTTGGACCAATGCTCGAATATATCCATCTTCAGTAAAGTAGTTGATGAAGAGAATGCGATCTTTTTCGGTAGTGAATATGGTCCAGAATTTGGATACGACAAAGCTGATTTACGATTGCTTTATCAATTTAAAAAAGGTCAATGCTTCAAGAACAGCTATGAAAAGCTAATTAGAAAAGATGAAGGTGAATTCGATATAAAAGATTACGAAGTATTCCAAGTAATAGTAAGATAACTTTTTTATATTTACAAAGAATTTATATTATAAATCTTTTATATAAATATTTTTAGAATATTAAACGTCAATTAAAACAGACTTCATGAATTTAATCAATAATAATTACCTTACTGTTATTATATCAAAATAAATCGTAAATATTACTAATTCTAAAAACAGAAATAAATTAATATCATCTTTTTCTCACATCCTTTTTAAGGGCCTGTTATAATATGCTAAACTAATAGTAATTAAATATTTGCTCGTTAATTATTGGAAAGCTTTTAAAAGACGAACTTTATTCTTTCAATAATTATTTTGCGATAAGCTCCTTGGATAATTTCTATAATGACTCATTCCACATTTCATCTTCATCAAAATTATAATAATGTAATGTCAAGTAAGAGTCATAAGGTGTATAAGTGTTTCTTCAAAACTTTATCCGCCAGACTAATTGACACAAAATTAATTTCAAGCATCAGATTCTTTAATACGCAAAATTATCTCATTTGATGTTAATTATTTGGTAGATAATCCGCGAAAACAAGGTTGTTTGTTTTTATTTAGCGATCTTGTACAGTTTATTTAATTCCTCAAGCAGAGGTCTTTCCGCTACGAGCCAATCGCTTAAATTATATATATATATATTATTGAAAAAATAATTAAATGAATAAAAAAAAATTAATAAAGGGCTCTATACAGATTTAAGTTAATACTATTTTGAGAAATCCCTTTCAAAAGTTATTTTTCGTCATATAAGCAAACAGTACAGTAAGTTTAACCTTCATTCGTATGCAAAGCAAATAAATATCAGAACAAGTATAAAGCATATACATAATTTATTTATATGAGCGTCGGAAACCTACCTAATATAGTTTATTAACAATTACGGAATTTAAACAAAACACAACTCTAATAAAGTAATGCTTCAAAGTCAGCGCTCAATACATTCAGATGCGTTTAATTAATTAAAGATTCGATTCGTTATCGTTACAATGAATGCGAAAGGGAATATTATTGTTACTTACGAACCTGTTTTTACCCCCAAGCGAAACCCGACCATTTTTATACCCGAAATTGACAAAGACTTATTTATTGTCCAGAAGCCGTTTTGGCACCTAGACAATTTGGCTGGAGTACACATTGGACTAATGAACTTAGTTCAATTTTGGGACAATGCCCCGAACACAACAGTACAATTGCAACAATTATATTTTTTATTGTCGTAACAATAGCAACTGGACTAAGCAAAAGTAGAAATTTATAAGCATTTTAAATATAAAGCCAAGCAAAATGGAATAGCTTTTCAGATCTTATATGATAAATAAATATTAGCATTGATAAATGTTTTTAAACAATTTGTTAAAAATCCCTCGACTTGTTGTAGGAGATATCTAATAAATTAGTTTTTTAATAAGAGATGAATAATATAGGGTTATCAGTTCTTCGAATTCATATCAAATTCTTTATTATTTGTTGTAAACTGTTAAGTATTTTCATAAAATCGACTCTAATTCTGTAAGTCAATTAATCCACGACTTTTTTAGAATATCAAACGAAAACTATTAGCAACTCACGATCTCCACAAAGTCGACAAATTACCAAGTCAATACACCTTGAATTCATTCATTTTAAATATCAATAACTTAAATGATTCCAAAAAAGGATGTATTTCGTATTTCTTAAAGTAAATAACTTATTTAATTGAAATTTTATTTTATTTTATTACAGTTGCCGATGTGTTATAGTACGTTTTTAAAAAGCAAACATTTTATAAAAGATACAGTATATTTTAATAAGTATATAGTATAAAATAGAATAGCTTAATATGAAAAAAGCTTCAATGATAAACTTTTTATGATATTATTTAAAGGTTGTTAGATAAGACATAAATAAATAAATAAAGCTTTGAAATCACAAATGAGTGTTTTCAAGTACATCCGTGATATCGTTATCAGAATCAGCTTCTTGTGATAATTCCATAAAGGTATCTTTGCCAACTGAAAATGCAAAACTTATGAATAAAAAAGAAAAATTTTCGTTAAATAATATGAATTGGAATAGTTACTTGTTTGAACAATAGATTTTGTTTCAGAATCCGGAGACTGATTGTTTAACTTGTGAATATTACTGATCGCACTCCATATTTGATTGTCAATCTCCAAGGGAAACCATTTCTTTCCATCCGAAGGTTTATCGATAAAACATACACCTAGTACCGTAATTACATCTGAATCGTTTTTAGTTTTATCCATGAGTAATTTTCGATATTTATTAGATTGTGCCTTGACTTTGGTTGTATTATTCACGACATGCTTCTTCGAAATTCCTACCCTTTTTGTCTCAACGGTTACAAAAAATCCATCATTATTTGCAAAAATCAAATCTCCTTTGTGGTCCCCATTATCATATTCAAAGTTATATAAATATCTGAACCCCGGGAGCCATTTATCATTAATTTCCTTTATGAATTTATCTTGCAATTTTGCCTCCTTCTTTTTTTGTTTGTTCTGTATATATTTTTCAAATTCAACGCTCCATTCGCTAATTTTTTCATTGTGACGGGTGTCTAGATTCAACCTGCTTATATCAGGATAGTAACTTTGCAAAAATCTACAAATTGCTACAAATATGTTGTCAAGATTTTCCAAATTCCATTTATAATTTTCGCTGTCATTGCCAAGATAAGTCGGTAAAAACCAATGATCCCCGTCACCTGGCTCCTTTTTGAGTTGAGTTTCATCCTTATTTTCTTGGACGAACCGCAAAAGATGTTTGCATTTCCTCAAAGTCCATTCCTCATTCTTAATGTCAAATTCTTCATCTATGGTAGAGTTACAATCCGTCAACTGATTATCCGTTTTAAATTCGGATATCCGTCATCTGTCGGATAAATTTGAGCGATCGGATAAAAATTCATACGACGGATCGGATGACGGTTTGTTTCAGATGAAGGTCAGATCATCCGTTAAATTTAGAAAGTGATTTACCCAATATAAAGTCGTCGATTTTTTTTTTTTTACGAATTTTTCTTGAAGGTCTTCAACTTTTCCTTTCCTCCTTGGAGGTTAGTAAAGGATT